ACTGACCCACCCCCACGCGGGCATTGGCAACGATCAGTGGAAGCAACCGCAGGGCATCATTTGTGGATTGTTTGTTGTTTCTTTGTTCGTTTGTTTGTGGTTTACTTAATCCCCTTGGTGCTGCTCACTAACTAATGACACTTGAACCGCCACAGGTTCATAAATATTAATTATCGCACCCAACACGTGTCAAAACGTGCTGACTTCTAGCGAAAGGGAAAGGGCGGAGCCAAAGTAACAACAGGCCAAAGGCCAGGAGCTGACTGACTTAGAATAATGTTACCGGAGTGTGGATTGACCACTCCCAATTACTCCCTCGATTTCCAGGGTACTCCCTCGCCGTCCTGTACCAGGCGCATATGTGGCCAGCTATGATGCCAGCTGATCCACTTGCACTAAAAAAACAACACAAACAACAAATAAATAGAGGCTCCCGCAAGGTGTGGATTTGGAATCCTTCTTACATATTCCATTAAATTCCAGATCAGTGCCACGCTTCAGTTTCTTCTTTTTTTTTGTATATAGAATCAATTTTCGTAGTTATTTTAAAAATTTTTCGATCGCTTAAGAATTTACAGTGTTGAAAAGGGTGCTGGCAGATGACGTCACAGCTGCTTACAGTGTTATTGAATTGCCCAAAGCGCGTGACTCGTATATCGATAGGGTATTTAAATACTTAATTTGAATACTTCTTACTTTATCATTCGAAAACAAATTCGTACCACTCTATTGCATTTTTAATGGCCACTGAAAAGGTAGTTCTTTTGATTTCTCTGCCGATATATTGCCAATCGTTTAGTGTGACCGTTCAAAGCGCGTTGACTGGAGCACACACACATACACGTGCTTTTATACATAAAACTAATAGAACTAATTTGAAGGTGCACGAGACCAAAACCCAATGGCAATTATAATTGTAGTCAATATTTTAAGCATTATCTAATAATATCCGAGTCCGAGTGCGAACATTGGTAAAACTCATTGGAGGATTGCTGTCATGGAATTCAAATTCAAATGAGTCGAGTGACCCGAGAGAGCTATCCGATTGCCGGACTAGGAAAAGACTAAGACTGCGGGGCAGCAAAAAATATACAAGGCGATACACCGCCGGAGAAGCTTCTAAATGATTTTGACACGCAGTTTGTTGTCTTTTTTAGAGCGACATTTCAGCAAAAAACTTTTTGGCACCGTTTGAGTGCTAACTTAATAGCTGTCTGTATACGCAAAAGAAAGTCAATTAGTAGTAAAACCATCTGGTTGAGGAGCCAAGAACAGCACTAAACTCAAATGTATTAGCTGCCGGAGCAGGAGCAGGAGCAGGAGAAACAATCACTTGCAGGAGGAGTGGAGCAAAAAAAAAACCTTCAAATGGAAGTTTTCTCTGGGGGTCTGACGCTCTTTCGCTAGCTCAACCTAATAGCGCCTTTTTATCTGGCTTTTATGTGCGTTGGCATATGGCCCAGAAGGCAGGACAGTTACCACACACAAGCACTCTTTACTTTCCCTAGAGAATTTACTTCTTATGTACCTAAGGCTACCCCAGGCACAGCACAAATTCTTTCCTTTTAGCAAGTTTCTTAAATAGCTTTTCAATTGCATTTTAGCTTTTGCCGCACAGTCAGACAGAGAAAGCAAAGAAGAAATTTATGTATGTAAATATAACAAAAAACTATCCCACAATTTCATAGTACATATGTATGTGTATGTGTGCATGGTACATCATACAGAAAAAGGTTAAGCAGCATATGACCTGAAGGCATCAGAAACCACAGCCCTTGAAAATGCTTTAAAGCTGAAAAAGACCCCAAAGGATTTTTTCCGAGAAAAGTCACAAAATAAAGGGTGAAAATGTACTGAGAGAAAATCAAGAAAATCTGAATAAATTCAAGGGAAAATATTGCAGAGAAACCCAGCGGGGAAATCAGTAGAAAATCAGCGAGTAATCATGGCCAAAGGGACAGACAGGGAGACACCTGTCAACTGTCCCCCATATTTATGTTTCATTTACATGTTTCCAATAAATTGTGCCACCAGCATCAGCAGCCGCAGCCGCAGCAGCAGGCACAAAAATGCGCAAGCAGCAAATAAAATTTAATAATTTCAGATTTGAGATTTTCAGCCCCCTCATCGGCTGTGGCACTCATAAATTCCCGTGTGCGTCATGGACAGCCGTCAACTTGTTGCATGCCAGTGTGTGTATGAGTGTGTCCCCACCGTCCCCTGGCGCACAAAAGTCCAAATTTTTAATTAAGTTGCCAAATGCTAATTCGTGTTGAAATGAAATGATGATCAAAGCAGACCAGGCCAGCCAAGATTCATAATAAGTATATGAAGAGAGGAAAATCACAATTCATGCGAGAGTCTCCACTTATAGCGGGAGGGGACAGACACCAGGGGCACGGGGGCCAGGGGCCAGAGACCAGGGCACCCGCCACCAGCAGCCAACTGCAAATCGAAAGGCAAAACTTGGCCAAGATTTACGATCAATTTGTCTATATGTATGGGCTATACCGCCCCCTCCAACACGTACATAAATAGTGCCTCTGGACCATACATATTTTGAACATTTTCCAAAAACAGTTGTAAATGAAACACTGAAATATGTTTCGGGGCCCTCCTCGGCTCTTGTTGGGCATTCGGCACAGCTTGATTTATTCTCATTTTATTCTCATGTATTCCTAATGGAAATTTACTTCGCACATCATTTTACTCACTCAGTTTCTGTGTTCGTTTTTTTGCGGCCGGAAATTTAATTCACAAATTCAGTAAACGCTCGATTTTTGATGGACATTTGGGAATTGTAAATGTTGTGTCGATTGGGCAGGGGACTTAAAGAGATTATAGAATTACTGCGCATTGTCTCTGAGAGCTACATATACTTATAAAATATTTATGATAATAACAACAAAAAGAAGACAACCCCCAGCACGTTGTATTTGGTTTCTGCATTCGTTTCGCGTTTCTTTTTGGGGGCAGAAATGTCCCTCGTTTGTGCTGTGCACTCATGCAGCGAGTGGCTAGTAGCGAGTAGCGAGTTACACGACATGTATGTTGTTTCTTTTTTTGTATCTTATATTTGCGTGAAAGAAATTTAATTTCAATTTTTTGCTCTGTGTAAAACACTTGACATGAAATCAAGTTCTTGCATCTAGCCCGCCCATCTACAAGTAGTTTCCATTTTAGTTTTAAATTGCATTCAAATTGTATTATCCAACACGTGCCTCTGTGGCCTCCTTTGGCCATCCCACAAGGCAAACATTTTAGTTGGCAATTGCATAATATTTGTCTCACTCTTTCTGTCCCTCCGCCTGTTGACTGGTGGCTGGGAATGTACTTGGATGTGCTACGATGCTGTGGTTTAGTTGGGGCTTAGTGCAAAGTTATGTGTAAATTAAATTGTTATAAATTGCAGCCCAAACAATCGACTGAGAAGAGGCACTGAGGCGGGAGACACACATGTATCTGTGGCTGTGTCCAATGAAATATTTCAATCAGAAAAAGTTAAACGATGTATCCCTGGGCCACAAAATGTATAGACACAGATTCAATGGGCTGGGACGGGGTTGCGGCTCAAACTTTCATCGGGTTTTATTGCATACAATTTGTTCAACTGTTGCGAAACAAATTGCCATGGCAAAGGCTTAAGGGCTCCGCTCCGTACAACCCATTTTGATGGCTCTCGGGCGGAGTACCGACAATATTCCTTCTCCTTTTTTTGGGGGGAAATATTTGACATGCATTCAAGCGGCACAACTACAGAAACCCTCATTCTCTCTCTCTGTGTGTGTGGCAAGTGCGAGCGTCATTAACAACGCCCTGATGCATGTGTGAGAATCATTTGAATATGCCAGGCACAACTCCCCCCTGGGTTGGTACAGTCAAAGACCAGGAGCTCAGGATGCTCAGATGCTAAAATGAAAAGACTGCCACGAGGCAGCAGCTAATGCCGCAGCATGCCGCAAAAGGAGAGCGAGGAAGCGCGGCATTAAATACAGAACAGGCTGAAAGCGAGAACCAAAGTTGTGGATGGAATTGTCATAGAGCGGCACTTCAGTCAGACAAGGCAGGCAGGCGGGCAGGCGGGCAGAAAGCTTTCAAAGTGAAATTAAAAATATATATCTCTCCGACGGATTTTAAGTTTATATTCACACGCACAGGACTCGGTGTAATATGATAGGCAGCGGACAACTGGCAGCTCCAGCTTGTGCCCCAAAATGGTAGCCAGTAATCGAATTTGTGCTCAAGTAGCCATTGACTTAGGACTGAACTGAAGCGCCAATCCCCTCCACACACACAAAATGTAATCATGCTTAAGAGATGACAACCCTTTGAAGGAGCTGCCCGCTGCACGAGGCCTTGTCCTTTGTCCTCCCCTCTTCGATGCAATTAGTTAATTCAATGGCTATAATTTCATTTGGAACTTTATAAGCCATAATTTGCGTTGTCTTCGTGGCTCTGAGCTGGATCAACACCAATCCACTTGTGCAGCTCTGAACCCAATTAAACTAATGCCAATTTGTTGAGCACCAGCAGGACCAGGACTGGTCATTGAACATGGGGTTTAATGCCCGTAGATGTAGATTTTATGTGGATACATTTTGGTCACAGCTAATTGGATGTCCGCGTGTAAAAATAAACATACCTGCCACACACACACACACATGATAGAAGGTGTGGCAGGAGTGTGGCAACTATTTTGGGCTATTTTTTGGCTGCTTTAATTAGTGTGAAAAGTGTAAAATAATTTTCTGGTTGCTGCCAACATTTTCGGTGTGTGTAAAGGAGATCAAAGCAAAATGACATGCGGCGGCAATAAAATGATGTGTTTTAATCACTTGATTCGTAGCTGATTTTTATGTGCTCCGTGTCCTGAAAATTGACAACTTAATGGGCCACATTTGTGAACAAATATTTCATAAATATATATTCTAGTATTCCCTGGATTTGTCATAGTAGTATCTATCGGCAGTAAGTTCATTTCATTACAAACTTCCGGCCAGTTCACTCAGGACTTACGGCTAAATATTTATTTGTATTATTTATATCATTTTGCCTGTCAAAAAGTCAAAAAGTCGCCTGGAAATATCAGTACCGAACAATATTAATCCAGCAACGACAAATAGACCAAACATGAAAAAGAAAGCCAAAGCTAGTCCAAAAGGCAACAACTTCACGCAGCCAAAGGAACGAACCAACCAACAGAACAGCGATAAGAAGTCAACGCCAGAAAAGCCTTCAGTATGGCGATCCAACTTTAAGGCAAAGACCAACGAGGGCTTACAGGCTGTCAGTGTGGCCGAAAGGTCAAGCCTCAAGGGTTGGGTGACAAGTGTCTTGGGCGATGGCGTCACCCAGGCGGACATGGGGCTGCGTTCGTGTGTCGTCTTCTGTCAACTGATCGCCCAAATCTATCCGGGCTCCATTGACACATCGAACATTAAGCTGAAGGCCAGGATGGTGCATGAGCGCGCCCACAACATAGCTCTGCTGAAGAAGGCCCTGAAGCAGCAAGAAACTGGCATGAAGGAGGCGGAGGTCACCAAGAGGCTGAACGGCAGCAGCAACGATTTGTTCGAGTTCCTGAAATGCCTGCAGGAGATACATGTGGCCATTGTGCCACCTCGACCACCAGCTGTCGTGGCAGCTCCACCGAAGAAGCAGCCGCCAAAGGAACCCCTGCCAGAGACGAAGAGGGAGCCTACAGCCTGCGATCTGAGTGCTACAAAGCAGGAGATGGATGTGCATGTGGCCATTGTGCCACCTCCACCGAAGAAGCAGCCGCCAAAGAAACCCCTGGCAAGCATTGCTCCGAAAAAGAAGACACAAGTAAGAAAAGAAACGAAAGAAAAGCCTACAGCCTGCGATCTGAGTGCTACAGTGGACAGCTCTGCCCTTACCTATGCCATGCCCCAGGAGGAGGAGGAGGAGGCTGTCCCCGCCCCAAAACCTGAGGATCATACACCAAAGCCCGGCGTGTCGATGCTCCAAAAGCTGTTCAACTGTCAGGGGTTCAAGCGCGCCTTGGCCGATCATTTGAGCGTACTGGATGAGTCCAGTTCGGATGATGATGAAATCGAATATACCCAGGAGCGCATCGATCGTATTGCTCAAGGGTTCTTTGGAATCATTGTTGTATGTATTTATGTAATGCGTGATGAGATCAAGGCCAGCGGCGGTGCACGCACCGAAAAGGACATCGTGCTGGAGTTCATTGGCGATATTCGCCGGATGCGCATCGATGTCAAGGAACACAATCGCGACGGCACACCGAAAACTCTTTACGAATTGAAGCACGCATTTTTCTCGGCCTTTCAGCGGTTCGTTGACATTTATCAGATCACTGCTGATATCATAACTGTGCCCGAGGTAATGACGGTCGAAGTGATGCCTGTCCATCGCCATCCACGCTTCAAGTTCAACAAAAGGAATCGCCATTGGTTTCCGGAATATCATCCCGAGACCATGTTAAATGGCGAAAGCCAAGAACACTTGCCAATGCTGGCCAAGGGTCAGACGCTGCAGGAAATGCTGCAGCAGTGGAACATGACGCATGGGATCAAACAGGAGACAGAAGCCGAAAAGGAGCCACAGCCAGGGGCCGACACAATCGATGAGGTCCAGCTGGTGCCAGAACAGACCTCGGTGCCACAGTCCGTTCATGTGGTTCCCTGTGAAGAGGAACAACAGGAGACAGGTGAGCAGATGCCGAGGATGGTGCCAGAAGCTATCTCCTGGCCATTCGAAGAGTTCCCACAGCTCGGTGTTGTCCAAGACGAAGAACGAACGATGAATCCCTGTGAAATGGAGGAACCGGAGACAGGACAGAAAATGCCGAAGATGCCGCAACCGGAGATGATGCCAGAAGCGATCTCTTGGCCATTCGAAGAGTTCCCACAGTTCGGTGTGGCCCCGAAGGAGAACCGAGAGATGAATCCCTTTGAAATGGAGGAACAGGAGACAGCAAAGGAGATGCCGAAGATAGTGCCAGAAGCGATCTCATGGACTTTCGAAGAGTTCCCACAGTTCGGTGTGGCCCCGAAGGAGAACCGAGAGATGAATCCCTTTGAAATGGAGGAACAGGAGACAGCAAAGGAGATGCCGAAGATAGTGCCAGAAGCGATCTCTTGGCCATTCGAAGAGTTCCCACAGTTCGGTGTTGCCCCGATGGAGGAACGAGAGATGAATCAAACCCAAAAAGAGTTGAAGGAAGTCGAGCGAGAGGCATCGCCTGCTGCATTCGATGAGCCACAATCGGAGCTGATTTTCCCAACAGCAGAGACTGATCCACACTCCGGCATTGAGTCGTTGACGTTTGGTTTGTTCGAGAATGACGAGCAGGGGAGCTTGCTGGAGACAGAAGCCGGCCAGCGGCCAGCAACGCCAGAGATGGCCCAGAGCCTGATGATGCCAGGTAAGAGTTATTTTCTTCTCTATCATAGGCTGAACACCAAACTCCAATTTCCGTGCTAGATTGCGGCCAAATGGTTGCACGGAAGGTGCCTCGGCAGAGAGAAGTTAAGGCCGCCACAGCCCAGGAACTGATGATGCTCCTTGGAGGCGATGACACTCTGGTACGCAAGAATCCTGTTGCTCCGCAGGAGACAACCTCACCCGAGCGGAATTTAGTTACGGAACAATTCGTGTGGAAGACACCGCCTAAGCGCAAGACCGGCTCGCCGTTGCCGTTGCCATTGCCGCCGCCAACGATGATGACTCTTCGTGCGGCGGTTAATCTTTCGATTGATTTCCCCGAGGAGGACTTCGATCGTTTGGTGATGGTGGTGCCTCTGGATGAGTCCCAAATCGAGGGGCAGCCAGAGCAGCTCTCAACGGACGAGCAATTGGAGTCGTCACCCGATTTGCAGCAGCTGGAGCCGCAAGAGTCGACTGACTAATTGTTGCCGCTCCCAAGTAAAATTTTGTATTTGTTTATATTTATATTTATTTTGTTAACTCGCGGCTAAATTATTTATTTTTGAATTAATTTAATTCAAATGTTAAAATCCAAAAAGAAAGCATAAAAGAGTGCGTTTATTTCGCTTTAATAATATTCAGAGAGTGATTTAAACCACCCACTGGACCACCATTAACAATACAATTACATTTTATTATACCCGCTACTCGAAGAGTAAATGGGGTTTATTGTATCTGTGCACAAAGCATTGCCATAGCCGAGTCGATTGAGCCATCGGTCGGTCTGTCCGTCTGTACGTCTGTCCGTCCGTCTTGTTGAGCGCCTGGATCTCAGAGACCATCAAAGCTAGAGCCACCAAATTTTGCATCCAGACTCCTGTATGCTCACACTGTTACAAGTGTATTTCAAAATTGACCCACGCCCCCTTCCGCCCCCGCAAGATAAAAGAAAACTAAAAAGGCCATTCTGTAGGGAATGACCATAGATCAAGATCAGATCAAGATCCCAAATTGATGTAGATGACAGATGAAGAAAAAATTTCACCGCTAAGGTGCAGATGTAGTACTGAGTGCAGGGTATAAAGTTGTGACGCGTAAGAAGCGTCTCACACGTCCCTTCTCGTTTTTTTGTTTTTTTTGCTACTTTAAATATTGTTTTTTTTTTCAATTATTTTATCTTTGCTGTACCCCAAACCATTTTGTACCCATTCTGCCTATCCATTTCCTACTTTACTTTCTCCCCCTCTCTCCCTCTCCCTCTCCCACTCCCTTTTTTCTTCCTTTCTGCAGCTATTAGCAACACTCTGCTGTGTGTGTTTTTTTTCCGGCTGATATGCGATCCATCTTCATTTTTGCGTTTCATTTCATTTAAGCTGAAGCCGAAGCTGAAGCTGCCAATACGCAATTTGAAGGGCAAGTGGTGAAAGGCGGCGCACAGGCACATAGGCAGCAGCAGGACACAACGACAAAGGTCCTTTCTGTGCGTGTGTGTGTGTGTGTGTGTGTGTGTGTGTGTGTGAGTGCTTACATAAACACCTTTACGCACGCTGGTTTTTTTTTTGTGACTCGACACGCTTTTGCTCTTGTGAAAGGAAAGCCCCCGCGTCTCTTCACACAGGCAGCATCTTGGCTGCCTTTTGGTAACTCGAGCGGCGTCTTGTTCTTGGGCGCCTTCTTCTCAGTGATAGCAGGGGGGGGGATGGTAAAAGCCCTCAAGGCGAGATGAGGCGTGGCGTTTCCTTTAGTTTCCTTTCGTTTCGTTCTTCTTCCCAGCTGTCGCCCATTTTTGCCGAATGCAATGCCAACAATTTTTGTTTGGAAAAATCATCTTCAAGCACTTTCACTTTTACTTTCACTGGAGGCGCCTGCCAAGCGCCTAATGATGCTTATTTCGGGCGTGGCACATGGAGGGAGAGTGGAATATTTTGTATTCTTTATTAGTTTGGCAGGGCCGAAAACGAAACGAAACCAGAAAAGAAATTGCTTTAAATTAATTTGCATGCCAAGGCGCACAGAAGCCAAGCAACGCTGGGAGTGGGTAAGGCGAGCTGGAACTTGGCTCATTATGAATTTCACCCCTGGGACAGAGTCCTCACTGCTCTGCCAGCCATTTGCTCACTCTTTGTGCGGAGTATCCATGCTATTGAGGAACTCTTTTTGGAGGCAAGTTTCTTGGCAATTAATCAAAGAGTTTTATTTATTTTTTTTAATATTTTTATTTGTTATATTTTTAATCAATTTATTTTGCAATTTTTGCTGCTGTGCCACTCAATTATAGAGCATCTCTAAAGGAGCTCCGAGTGTGCCTTAGCCATTAATTTTGTTCGTTTCGTGGGCTTCCACTTTTCCACCTTTCGAAGCCAAAATGATGCAGCCAAGAAAAATAAACGAAAGGAAAGGAAAGGCAGTGAAAAGGGAAATAAAAGGCAAGGAAGGCCAAAGAAAAGACGCAAAGCGAATACTTTAATCCCAGCAAATGGTGGGGCAGGAGCAAAAGCAAGCGACTTACGCGCAATTACAACAATAAAAAAGAAAACAACAACAAAATAAAAGCAGTACAAAATAACAGGCAGAAATCGTTTATACATTGAATTGTTAGGTTGAATTTTCAATTGGCCCTCCAATGAATTTCCAGAGGAGGGCTGTGCAGGCGAGGGGAGGAAACTGACACCCAAATTGTTTACCTTGTGACCTTATCGATGCTCGGAACTGTGTAACCTGTTGATGGAAGCCCAAGCAAGTCCTGGGCGGGGTGGCGGAGGGGCAATATTTAAGGCGCTTAATAAATAATCACATTTGCATTTTCACTTGTTGATTTTTCGGTTGCCCAGGAGATTGCCACAGCACAAAAATTCTCTCGGAGTGCCAACAATTTGTTGTTGTTTTATGCTGACTTTTGGATAAGTTTTGCGGGGGTTGATACACAGGACATTAGCCAGGCACTCCAAGCATGTACCCCGAGCACCCTTCCCCTGCCCCTGCCCCTTGCTGTGTGCTGAGTGCATTTTGTGCCCTGTCATTGGGGGGCTAAATAAATTGAAATTAGACGATGTCAGCACAAAAAGCTCCAGCCAAAAGTGGGCAGAGAGAGAGAGAGAGAGTCAGCTGGATGACAGGAGTGGACGTGTCGGAGGGTTTCCTCCTGGAGGCCTACCAGTGGCAGTCACAACATTGACTGGGCGTTACACAGGAGGCCTTTCTGAGGTCTCAAAGTTTCACTTAGCAACTGGTTTGGCATAGTGAAAATTGCACAGTGATTTGTTGTAGATAATCGGGTAGATCGTGGCTAATCATGAAAGCAATATACAGATGGAAACTCAGCTAAATTAAATAAATTAAATAATTGAAATGAGCAGAACTAAATGCGTAAGAATCGATTTTAAAACAACTTTAATGCAGAGCGGGGAAGATAATTGCTCAAAGTACCTGGAACATCCCCTTGTGTCCCCTTAAGTTTGTTTAATTGCACAACTTAGAATATTAAATTAAATATTTGCTCAGCTGCCGTTTGGCGAATAAATCTCTAAAGTTTCCCTTGTATATTTTTGTTGTTGTTCATTCCTTGGGCAAAACTCTCTCATGGCCATTTCATGCATTTCCTCCTGATCTATCTTCATATTTATCTTTGTGCTTGCAAAAGTTCCAGCACCAACTGGAAGTTGACTTCATCTACACAACTTTTCTTCAGTTTCTTCAATTTGAGAGCAGACACGACCCCGAGCCCGCAGGCGGCAATTAAGTTATGGCTGGGGGGGGGAAAATGCGTTTAATTGTGGGTAACAATGGGCGACGCGTCGAAAGCGTTTTTTGTTGTTGTTCTTTTTGCTCCCCAGGCCACAGCTCCAGCAGCACCTGTAGCATAAATTGTTGGCCAGATTCCCAATGGCTGCCAGGACACACACACACCCTGCCACACACCCGCTGCATAATGTTTGTATATGGACAGATTTATGCTGAGTATGCGTAACATTTGCCTGGCAATATTTCGGCAGCGACAGCATTTTTCCCCAAAAAATTCCCCAATCTTGCTCTTGCTCTCTCGCTCTTTCTTTCCCTCTGTCTCAAAGTGTGGTGTGTGTGGGGGGGGGGGGGGGAGCTTTTGCCATTACCTCATCTTGGTCTTCTACAGCAAAAGCCAAACATTAAATCACTTAAAATGCCAGTCCAAGCCCTGGACAAACACTGACTGGGAGGGAGAGAAAGGAACGCGGGCAGCGGGAGGAGGAGAAAAATGAGTGGGCAAATGAGGAACATAAGAAGTGGCAGAGAGTAGAGTGGGGTGGGAGAGGGAGAGGGAGAGGGAGAGCTTGCGGTTGGGAGCTTGACTTGGCGCTAAGAACTTCTGGAATTTTATCACCCCTCAAGCACCCCCTCTCTCTCTCTCTCTCGCTCTTTCGCGCTCCCCTAACATGTACGTCCGTCAAGTGGGAGGGGCTGTCTCCACTCCCCTCCACTCCCCTCCACACCACTCCACACTCTCCACTGTGTTGTTCTATTTTATGCGGCGAGAGAGTGTTTGTTCTGGCATTTTGACATTCAACGATGATGGCATTTTCATAATAATAAGCAGTTCTCTCTTCTGTTTTTTCTCCATTTCGTTGCATTCCAACAGCAGCAGAGACTCGACCTGAACTGTTTGTTCCCGGTAGGGGAGTGAGTAAGGATAACGGTAATTTGTTGACGACAAATTCCTTGCAATTCCTTGCACTTTTGTTTATTTTCTCTGCTCCCCCGGGCCATGATTAAGGTAAATGCAGCTTTAAAGCAATTATCTGCCAGTTGCAAAATGACTTGGAAATATAGTGAAAAAGTGACACATCTTCGTCGCACATAAACGAACTCAAACTTGGCAAACTTCGGCATATTTTTTGCTCACTTTGAAGACAACTTTTATAGTTTCTTTAAGAAAAATCCGCTAATAAAATTCAACTGAAGAACGAAATTTTCTGCATACATATTTCTGTCTTCGCCTCATACACAGATATTTTCCACATCACAGAGCGTTGCGGTGGTCTTTTTATAGACTTGATTTCATGGCAAAAAATATAAACATAAAAATGCGAACCAAAATTAAGTATTCAATTCAAATAATTTAAAAATTGTTTAAAAAATATTCAAAGGCAGTTAATTAGTTCAAATATAATACAAAATATGTTAAGATGGAAAAGTCCAAAATAAACAATCAATAAAAATATTTTTCCGTGGCAAATAAATAAAAAATTAGATTTAAAAAATAAAAAATAAGTCGAATAATACTTATTTTGTATAAAACAAATGGCTATTTCATTTTATTTTATGTTCTGCTAATTACTGGAACTATCAAAATGAACAAAAAACTAATTTTTCGCTCCATTATTTACAGGAATACCCTGCCTGACGCCGCGATATCTATCGATATTAAGGCCCAACAGCACTCGACACGGAAGAAATTTTAACACAAAAAAAAACACAAAAACCAAATTGGCCTCAGTAATAATTTACGAATCAGGAATACATGCAATTGCTTGTTGATTATGTCTGCGCCAGTGGAGAGTAACAGCAGCGACAAAGCCAATAAAATGGATCTACAACTGAATGTGGAGAACTTTCCAAAGTGTGCTGTGGACACTCTTGATCACATTGGTATGTGTACATAAATAAATTGCAAATATTGAATTGCTTTTGTAACACTTTTCGCTTGCAGCAACTCTGCTTGCTGCTGGTAATAATCAGAATTTAGTCATGCAAATAATTGCCAAATACATTTTCTTGGTGCAAAACAAGCCGTCTGACCGGCTGAACTTGCTGAAGGAGTTGCAATTGGCCATAGCGCTGGTTGAGGGCTTTTTAAAGCCAGGACGAAATCGGTTTGCAAGCTGCAATGCCATATTTATGTCGCTCTTTGGCTGCCACCTGACACCGGAGCGCGCCCAGTTGCTGGGCAAAGTATTGGAGAGCTTGGAAATGTTGGGCCCAGTGGCACCGCTGCTCATCTCGGCCGGCCTGTGGCCTGGCCGCTTGCGTTTGGTTTCCTTGAGCAAAACCAACAGCCAATTGCATTTGTTTCTACTAAAAACTCTCCAGAAATATTGCACCAGTGGACAGATAAGCATTCTGAACATACAGGCCTTCATGCAGAACTTTTGTGCCCGTACAACTGCAACCGGGGGCGATCCGAAGACCAATACTTTCCATCAAAAATGCATGGAACGCCTTGCCCAAGCCATCCGGATTGCCATGTATTGCAAGTGCATTATTGCAACAGGAGCTGTTGCCCACACACAGGCTCAGGAATGTGGTCATAGCTCATTATAAGCGGCAGTAGTTTTATTTTAATGAGATTTTGTGTTCAATACAATCGAAAATTCTAAAGAATTGTATTCCTTTCAGCGTTGATTTCCTATCGGGTTATCGGCAGGGATACTCTGGCAAGTGCTTGGCCCCTTGGTCGTGCAAAAAAAATGCTCCCAACTTCCATTTGAAAACCATTAACGGCTCTGGGGCATATGAAGTATGGTTCAAATATTTGTTGATTTATTTATAATGTTTTTTCGCCGGCCCGCGCCAGCATTTTCACGCGCTTTTCCGCTCACAGAATTGAGTTTTGTATGCAAATAATTGCCGAGTGCTCTCCCTCCCCCCCATCCAACCCCCAACGAGTGTGTTTGTGTAGGCTGCTGAGGGTCCAGCACTCAGTCCTGCGGCTGCAAATTTTGCTGGAAATTTAAACAATGAACTGCCAGGCCCATTAATATTACTTTAGGCCACTCGCAACTTTGACTTTGCAGCTCCTTGGTGCTCCTTTTTTTTTTCTATTTTGTTTGCCTTGTCGCTGAGCCAAACAAAAGCGACAGACGTAAGCGCGGTTTTGATTGTGTTTTTTGTTTTACATTTTTTAATTTTATTTTTATTATTTTCTGTTGTTTGTGTTGGAAAGTTCAGCAAGTCGCCTTTCGCTTTGAGTCTCCCCATGTCCTTGGGCTGCCGCCGCCGCTTGCCATTTTGTTTGAAGACAAACAATGTTCAGGTATAATTTAAAACAGTTAAAGAATAAATTTACTCGCTTTAAGAACGGATTTCAACCATAAAAAAACATTTACAAAATCCTATTTTTTTTTTCTTTATTTTTAATGAAAGTTTTTAATTTTTTTTGGCAAACTGAATTGAATTTCACTCACAGGAAAAATTCCAAAAAGTCATTTTCCCTCAACTTTTAAAAGAGAGAGAGAGAGAGGGAGAGAGAGGATGTGAGACAGGGGTGTGGGGAGTAACAGCCAGAGGGTAAATGAAGAGGAAGCAGAAGAAGAGCAAGAAACAAAACACAGAAAAGAAAGAAATAAAAGTTTTTCGAGGGAATGGCTGGGAGTGGCGAAACAAAGTTATTATTACTTTAATTTTGTGAGTCAGTTGAGGAGGGCTCGAGACGCACGAGCGTCGAAGTTTTTGGGGTTTTTATTTGTTGCTGGAGGATGTGGGCTGCCCGGCCCCACTGTGATTTGTCAGGAAACCTCCAAACCTTCAAACCACACCAGCGCCACAATTTCTTCCCAAATTGCAGCAGCGCCATCTTCTCGAGTCGAAGTACCCTTTGAAGCATCCAATATATATCGTTTATTATTATATTATAAACACATAAATATGAAGAAAAATACAAATTAAATATATGTACATATATCCAATGGTAATTTCGTTTATTTCACATGAGACATTTGGACTTTTAGTTGAACTTTTTGCGGAGACTAAACCGCAGTCTGTGTTTGGGATTAAACCAAGAATAATTTCGTATAAGTAAAATGTAAAATAATATTTAAATCTCTTGAAGTAATAAGAAAGGCTACACAAAAATGTTCCCTAATAGCCACTGCACACTGAGGCCATGCCAGGGGAACGTTGGGAATTTTTGAAAGAAGTGAAACGCCCGTTCACACTGGCACCAGCCACCATACATAAAAAAAACTATTTATTCACATGTTCTGCTATAGGAACTGTGGAATAAAACCATGGTAATAATTGTGTTGGAAACATTTGTGATAATTTTTGAATTTAAACAGCCAAAAAGTCCCAGTCCTAGCTGGTTAATGCCACAAAAAAACGGCATTTCCGCCCACTGTGCGCTGAAATCTGAAGTTTAATATGTTCCCCAAGGGCCTCATTAGTGGTGCCCCCTGTCGCTCTTTACACTCACCCATCCACTCTCTCTCTCTCTCTATCACTGTGTGTGTGCCATCTAACCGTACAGATACGAGTATTCCCAACTAATACACAACATTTGCTTTACACTATTTGACATTGGATTTATTTTTTTTGTGTTGTCTGCAAATCTTGTTTTCCTCACACTTTTCGGTTTGTTTTTGGCCACTGATTTTGTGTTGATTGAACAGAATGGGAGCAACAATAAAATAGAAGCAGTATAAGGGGTCCCTAGCTGAGGTTTCAACTTTAAAGTGAAGGCGGCCCTGGCCCTGGCCCTGGCCCTAATGAGTGTTATTATGGGATAACACTGGATGGAGTGAGCTCCTGGCACCCCAGGGAAAACGTACGTGCCCCTTGGGGTTCGCTTTGTGCATTCGTTGGATTGAATATTAAACATGCCGAAAACTTGTCAGTGTTTTTGCCACTAATTTTATTAGTAATAGTGCGGGAAAAGTGGTAAATTGGAGGACAGACAGCAAGTGCCAACAAAGGAGTCCAAAAATAGGTTTAGAAACTTTGCTGATTAGAGACTTTGAAATGGATTATAATCAGCATTGCCTACGGTAAGGAAGGGTATAGGAAGAGTACCAAAAGAATACCTACATAATGGCCAAGAATTGCAGCTGCCTGGCTGGAACTCCAGAACTCTGGAAGAGTATATCTATCTACATATGTGTGGCCTGTATTCGATAGCTATATGCTAATGTCTTGATTAAAATTTCACTAATGGCGCCAATTTGTTGTTGGCAGAGCCACGGCCTGCCGCCCTTCAAAGAGCCGGAAGTGGCACCAAAGGCCAAGGAAAGACGCCACAAAAGGCAGACGAAAAAGTGAAAGGAGCATCGTAAAACAGAAAAACCAAAATATCCATCAAGTTAAAAAAAAATAGATATAAAAAAGAAGGAAATCTAAAAGCGAAATGATGCCGGGATAAGGCTATGCTGGGGGTAGCCTAAATAGGATACCGAGATACGAGATACGGGAGCGGTGTCCCCACGCCTGAACGAGTACGAATACGAGAAACGAGTCGTCCTGTGTGTGTGTGCGTGTGTGTGGTAAGCCACGAGGCAAAAGTCTGCACAAAAGCAGCACAAACCCATTTCGACTCAAGGCCGCAGGAGAAACCACTCAAAGATATGAGACAACCGACATTGAAAGAGAGCCAACGCGTTGGCAGAGAGAATGCATGGCAGTCAGGGTTCACTCAACCCAAGAGATTCTGGGCATTGGAATTACAGTTACGTTGGGTGTGCCCAACGTGAGTTCGATTTTAGTTCATTTCAATGCACTTTTCTAAGGCCATTTGACATTTTCTATGTATTTATTTGAGTCAGTTAATGTAACACTAAGTTCTCTGATTTGGGAGAGTCCTATCCTCAGTTGAACAGAGTTTAGGCATCTCTTATTTTTCTGGCTGCCAGGGTATCTAGACCTGCGACTACTTTGTCGCTAATCTAGATGTTGAGCAGGACAATCCAACTCATTCTCTCTGCTGCCTGCTGCCTGGCTCTCACGCAGGCGCACTCTTAGTGCGGCAACAATGAAATCCAATAGGAAAACAAAAACACCAAAGGAAGACGAACAAAAAAATGTGTGTTTGCCCAGCCCAGGTCTGGCTGGTCACAACATCCCAACAGCCGCCCGCGCCCCCCAACCAACCAATACCCTTTCTTGCAGCTCATCCCCCCCGGCCGGCCAGCGGATCGAACAGCTGCGGCCCATGGCCCATGTGCGTATGCAATGAAAAATTCGCGCTACCCGCAATCTGCACCAGAAACCAGCGTCCGAGGCGCAGCCAACTGAGAAATTTTAATTGCTTCTTGTTGTTGTCGGGCATACCCTGCGCAGAGAGTACTTTCACAACGAGCAGAGGGATGCTGCAACCCAGAGCATTGTTGGAACTATCAGAAATAAATCAGACTCCAAATCACTTTTGAGAGCTGCATCCATCTGTGGAGGGTATTTGAAGCTTCGTCAGCCATAGATAGCTTTGCTTTAGGGTGTTCTTTTTGTTGTTGTTGTTGTTGTTTGGAATGGGGTGAATGGTGGAGAGTTTTGAGTGGGAGTTTTGCGAGTGGGCGTAGCAGTGGGTGGCAGGTCACTTACCTTTGGTCGCTGCGTACGGGCTGCGCTGCTCTGGACCCGCTCTGATGATGATGCTGCTGCGGCACCTATTTTTGTTGTCGTCATCGCCGTGAAGCCGCTTGGAATTTTCTGTTTTTGTTTGTTTGCTTTTGTTTGAGTTTTGTTCACGTTTAGGAATTTATTTAGTTTTTTGTTTGATTTTCGTTTATTTTCATCGCACACTTTATTTATTTATTATTTATATTTTCGTTATTTTTAAACTAATTTATGCATTTATTTTGATTATATATTTTTCAAGTATTTTTTTTTCACACTTTTTTGGCACACACACTTGCAAAAAAATAGAACAACAACACAAAAAAATCGAAAAAATTCAATCTCTCGGATTTTCTAGTTCTATTTCCAGAAATATTTCTGCACAGTAGATTTTTGGAGGCTTAAATCTATAGATAACTAAATTGCTTCAGGATATTGCTTCAGGATTCAGCCTCGTCTCGCTTATTGTACAATAATATTTGTGCAACATTTTTTGGCGCACGCTCGATGCCGTTTGCGGATGCTTTTATGCGGCCGCCGTTGCCCTGCTGCTGCCGCTTTCAACTGCCTCTTTTTTTTTTTGTTGAGGCTTGTCCCGTTACGCTTTATTTTGTATTTTCGTTGTTTTTTTTGTTTGCACTGCTTTTGATTTGGTTTGTTGTTTTCTTTGTTTTTGTGTTACATTCTTTGGCTACTGCTTGTGCTGCTGCTTTTGCCTGTGGTTCTGGCTCTGCTCCTTCCTCGTCTGCTTCTTCTTGTTCGTTTCCTCTTGTTCTCTTGGGCTTGCTCTTCTTGTTGTTGTTTCATCTCTTTTTCGCCTTCTGCTCTTTTGGCAGTCCAGCCACCAGCCATTTGAGCACCCCCTTTCGACCCCCCTCTCACACTGCGCAGACGTCGTTCTACCAAAAGCTCACTCAAAGGGCTGGCTGGCTGCCTCGTTTTTCATACACTCTTTGGCTAGCCCTCCACCTAGACAAATTCACTCAAAACTCACCTCAAAGTGGAGCTGAACGGATCCAAATCTGGCCTGCTTATCCGCGTCTCTTTGGCCTCTCTTTGGCCTCTCTTTTGGCCTTTCGAGCTCTGCTGCCGGCTTTCTTGCTCTCTCCCCTGTGCTGTGCTCCTTCCTCGTTCTCTCTCTCGCTCTCTTGGATCACTGCTTTGTAACTTGGAACACTGCTGCACTGCTTCTTAGGTCTCTCTCTCTCTCTTTGAGTGCTTCTGCCGGCTTTTGGCACCTACCACTCTTCGAACACTGCGCTCTCCTCTCTCCAGCTGTTGGTATTCCGTTACAGTTACTTCCTGGTATTCTAACGGCTGATGCCGGCTTTTGCTGCTGTTTCCACTCTTGGAGCACTGCTGCTGCCACTCTTTTGGGCACCAAACTGTTTATCTGCTTCCCGTGGGTTTCTTCCGTTCAAAAGAGAGCGGCCTGGGGGCTTATCGCACAAATTACCGATTTATTTATATTTATTTTTGTTAGTTTTCTTTAACTTTTTTCTTTGGTTTGGCACATTAAAAAAAAAATGCAAAAAATTACAAACAACCAACACAACAATTTGCCTTAAAAGAACATTGGGAAATGCGAAAAGTTTTCAATCGGCAATTTGCAGTTTATTTAATTTATGCGGCCCGTTATCTGAGGAAGCCTGTAAACAATTACACAGTTACAGAATACATTTGCATGCGCTCACACACACACACACACCCACGCGCACACACAGTGTGTGATAAGTGCGGGGGGAGATATTAAGGAGGAACGGGGCTTATCAGTCGAGATTCCCTTGGTTCCCAATCAGAATGGCGAAACAAAACCAACACAAATTTCCAATCGGATCGCGGTCCGTGCAATTCCGTCAACGTTCAACGATCCTCTGTCGCTCCGACAACGAGGCGCCAAAATCAACTGAAACCGCGCGGCGCGGCGCGGCGCGATGCGATGCGGCCACGGCCCCCAGACCCCAGCCTCAGCCTCTCTCTGTCGCTGTCGCTGGCGCTGTCACCCCCTACCCTACCCCACCACTCCACATGGAAATGAAATTGGAAATAGAAAACGCCATCAAGCGAGAGCACGACTGAGCGAGCGAGCGAGCCCGCGAGCGATTTGAATCGCGCACGCAAAAACAAAACAACAACACAAAAAATAAAAATGGAAATGAAAATGAAATCATGAGATCGGACGTGTGGAAAGCTGCAGATGCACAGCAGGCAAGACCCAAATCGTAACCAAAAGGGATGGGATGCCACAGACCGTTGAATGAGTTCAGGATTAAGGATAAACTCTAGAAACAAATATAAATGAAATCCCTAAACGTATTTTACATGTTCTGAATAATCCAAAATAATATAAATGAATAGAAAGAATTCAAAAATAAAATTCTTCATCAATCAAGCACGTAATTCCGCAAGAAATCTGAAAGCAAGCGTAGCAAAATGTTCCATGTTCAATCGCCAATTAGGCGTAGAAAAATGTACATAATTTCAATAATCCAAAAACGATCTAAAAATGCAAGCAAAGTATCAAAATTCACAGGGCACAGCGTAGACACGAGACCAGAAGTTCACCAAACCGCTAGCCACGTTCACAAACAAACGAGAGATTGGCTAGTGAGACACAGGCGGGGAGCTGTGTTTGTGCCTTTTGTGAGATCAGCAATAGTGACAAGTACTCGTACTCGCCTCACAGTTTGTGCAAATTGTTTCATCAATCAGTGACTAGCAACAATCTGTGGATGGATGGATGATTATGCCTGAACAAACTGGAACAGATCAGCGTCATTGCATTCATTCTCATTTGTGTATCTTTGAGATAACTTTTGGGCTTTATGGTAGTTGCATTCAAGCTGTTAGATAGCTGCACTTGATGTTCATTAGCGTTTAGATAACTTTATCAGAGAATAATTACAGATAAGCTCAGATGTAGAAAAGTTCCTGGGGATTACAAAAATCCCTTGGTAAAGGAATTTGTTTTTTCTTCACATTTAATTCCCTCACAAACTACTCTATGGGGGGACCCAATGTCTTTTTGTAGGGCAAACATTTGTTTTTTTTTGTTTTGTGTCGCAGTCTCTGGATGCTCAATGCTGATGTTGATGATCACGAGCGGAATTGGAATCACAATCACGAGGCGACTTTATTGTGCACCATATAGTATCTTCCTGTCTGACTGTCTCCGTCGCCACACGCTACGATCGTCAGAATGGCAAAAATAAATGTGTTTATTGTCTTTGCGGTTATTGCTATTGCCATTGTTGATAATTCCTATTACAATTGCAATTAAATGGCGGCAGCTAACCATTAAAATTCACAACAACAAAAACAGTTTGGGATTCGAAAACGTTTCGCAGCAATAGAGAAAAGCGAACCCAACCGAACTGAATCGGCACCGGCGCCCAACTGCGATTGAGAATGCTCTGGGTGCTACTGGGGGTGGCCGAATCTACAACTATCTTCAAACATTCTCAGATACCCACGATTGTGACTGCAACACTACGATAGAGGCAGAGGGTTACAGCGGCAAGGGTTACTCTCTCTCTCTCTCTCTCTCCCATCAGAATGAATTTGTTTATTGGGGGGAGGGCTGCTGATGCTGCTGCTGCTGCTGCTGCTGCTGCTGCTGCTGCTGCTGTTGCCATTACGGTTATTGCTATTGTTCACATATATTTGTATACCCAGCACTCTCGTGGGAGCATATGCAGGCACACGGACACCCGATCGAAGCTGATTGATAATGGGTAACCCATGGGTCGAGGTGGCCTTCTGCCTGCCGCTTTTATTATAATTGCCATTAAGCAAACAGTTAAGAATCATTCGAATCGAAGCGAACCATATCGAACGGAACTTCAGCGAATTTCAAGAGGGGGAAAAAGAGGAACTCTACGACTGGTGACGTTTTGACTGGTCTGTAAATCAATGGCGTCAAATTCGCTGACGAGGAGCGCAGGCAGAAGCAACAGAAATAATCCCATTTCGCTGCATTTGTTGTTGCCATTGACGTTGTTAACGATTTCCAAATAGTGTGGCGGCACACCCCCTACCCCCTACCACCTACTTCACCTCCCCACCCTCCCACACTGTACTTGATTCGTGTCGTCATTAGCAACGAAGTTGGCGGCAAAAAAGAAACAACCGATACAAAATGCTTGTTTGTTTTTTTTTTTACTTTCAACTCGTTTCGACGCTCAGTTTTGTTTACCCCCCACCGCTGCCACACTCTCTCGCTCTCTCTCTCTCGCTCTCTCTCTATCAGCGGCAGAGAACTTCTGCACATTCTGATAAGCGGACAGAGCTCCCAGTCCCCCCCAAGCATTAAGTTATCTCAATTGTTATTTTTCCGTGGCTGGTAAATCGGTCAGTAGGGGGGCTGACCACATGGCTCATTACCGAAAATTGTGGCCGAAAGAGGTGTTCCTCTCTCTCTCTCTCTCTCTCTCTCTCTCTGTCTTAAATGCCTTTCTTTTTGCAGCTTACCGAAATTGACTTGTTATATTTTGGACACTATCTAAGCCCTGAAATAAACTCGGCTCTTTTTATGCATTTTATTCGATTTGCCATCTGGCATTTCCCCCTTTTTGCGGGTGTCAATCCACAGAACAACAAAAACTTTAATCCATATTTCATGTGGCAGCGCGTGTGTGACACTTGATTGGATTTGTTCGCATATTTCATATTTATTTTGCTGTTATTTTTGACTTCCAATTCGATAGATTCAAATATATGCAAGTCTTTGGCATGCGTGAGTGTATCATTTATATGTATATAAATTTATATATAAATATCTGTTTGGGTATCTGCTGTATCATTATAGATAGATATAATTTCCACATATCGATGATATATGCACTACACGTTTGACGCTGCCTGTTGCCTGTTGCCTGTTGCTGTTGTTATGGACTAAATGCGTCAATTAAATATAAAAAAAAAAAAATTAATAATAAATAAATACGCAGAGGCCAGACACATCTATGGATAGATACAAAGATACAGAAACAGTTGCATCACTCTCCCCCTTACAGCCTCTCCCACTTGCCCACTCTGTGTGACAGTTCTTTGGGAATTAGAAATAAATTATGATTTTCAATGACACTATAAATCGCACTCACAGGAAAGATAAAATATATACGCAAATATTTATCGCTAATCGACGGCGCGCTAAAAGCTTTAAGAGCCCATCCAAGGCACATCGAAAAATATTAATAAAAAATTACAACAACAAAAAACTAAAGCAATTCCATGTCTTTCCTTAATCCTCTCAAGTCCATAGAACCCAGATATATTTTTTCTATACGCATCCAACCGTTGTATGTATATTTTTTGTTGCTTATAATTTATTCGCATCTTTTTTTTACGATCTTCTTTAATGACATTTCGCTGAATTTGGACTAAGAACAACGCAGATATTCGCATATGGTGTATGGTGCATGATGCGGGGCATGCCCCAAGCCCCAGGCTCTCCTACGGACAGCTGTCTACCTTGTTACGTGCCTCATTAAGTATTTTCGGGATTTTTAATTGACACGAGAAAATATAGCAGGCAAAATCAAATCTAATTTCATTAATTATAAATCACAAATAATTTTTTGACTCTTCGTTAAATTTGCTTTTTGATGCCAGGGTCGAAAAACGTGTTATTTATTGAAAAAATTGTTAATTGGAAGTTGTGGCACAGTTTAGATCAGGAAATAGTCAAGGATCTATGAAGATATCTTTGGAATTGCAGATGCGGAAAACCATGAAGAAAAGCCCATCGAAAGTACGCATTTGGGAGGAATGCTTAATGGATATTCTGACGGAATTCTTGCTGGAATAAAGAATTTAAATTCTACCCAAAAATATACGGACTAACCTTTCGGCTATAAAATCTTTGCGTGCCAATGCTTTATTCTTTTCCTTTTGCAATTATTATTGTCAGCCTAATTTTGTGCTAAGAATTAATTAAGAATTCTCATTCGAAATCGAAATCGGCATCCAAAATTGGATCATGCGACAGTCACAGATATTTATTTTCAGTGACCTTCACGGGGTCCAACTTCTCTCTCTCTCTCTCTCTCTCTCTTCGATCGCGTTCACATTTGTCAATTTAATTTAATTTATGATATTAATTTTTTTCCTCGGTATGGGCAACCTTTTCTCTGCTGTGTATTCCCCATTCGATGCGACTTGTTCAAATAATTGTTGTTGTCATCTCGCATATTTATTAGCACCAGGCCGCCAAATGGGCCGCAGCATCGGGCCATAGAGGCGTTTGTCGCTCGTTATTATTTATTTGCGCATACAATAAGTATTCTTAAAAAAGTACACACAAAATACACCCAAAGTGTATGGGGAAGGAAGAACGATTTCCAGAGATAATTCTACAAATGAAGAAGCGTGCGAAGGCAATTGAAGAACGTGTGTGGGGATAAACGGCAACTCGGATTTAATTGTTGACTGCAAGTGGATTTGGCAAAGTTTTTTCCAAATATTAGCATGAAGGAAATATCTATGTGAACATGGGCCAAAATTCAGGACTATTCAGGAATACGAACACGCTTTAAGGCTGCTTTAACCCCAACAGTCGCTGGCAGCTAAGATGAACCCTCTTATTGGGCTCCTTGAGTACCGGGTATGCAACAGTTTTTGGCTGTGCTCCCGTGTCATTTCGCATCCCCGTCCCACAAACTGGTGTGCGACAAGCGGGTTAAATGGGTTCAAGCAGCCGGACAGCCGAAAACCAACCGCAGGCGTCTTCCCATCTTCACCGCCCAACCCAGAACAGCCACGCAACTGGGTGTGTGTGTGTGTGTGTGTGTGTGGGTGTGTGGGGGTGCACCCTTTTTGGTTTTACCTACATTCGGGAATTGTGGCGTTATTTAATGGCCCAACACTCTTTGTTCCGCTCTATTCATGGCCGAAACACTCCTTGTCCCACTCTACACATGGGCCAGCCTGCTTTTTGTGGCTGGCTTTTTTCGAACGCGCGTAACGGTTAGCGGTCCAGCCCGCGGTAAACGCACCGGTCCGCGAATAGCGGCAAACGTTTAACAGCCAACGATATAAGCGGTCGGCGGTATAACGAACCAAAAAACAAACAAACGACAAGGATGAAGGATGATGACACCGCCGGCGACAAGAACTAATGTTAGGGAGAGCGAGAGTGCGCGCGGGAGAGCGGCCGACACAGCCGCGTGTTGCAATGTTTACCGTTGGGCTGCCTGCCGTACGCCGCGTGCTTCGCCAGAAAGCGTTCGTTACGGTGCTTTGGGGGTCTTTACCGTTATCCGCGCGCGCCACACCGAACAGTGACCGTGCATTTATTGATGAAAAATACCACCGCCTGGCACTCCGAAATATACCCAAAAATACTGTCTCTTTTCCAAAACATACCGTATTGTATAATGTAAATCATATTTCTTTTTTTTTGTAATTTGATTAAATATTTAAAGCTAGCGAGGACTCTCACCACTAAACACATAATTTTATTCGATTCATTAATCAATTCTCTACAAATTAGTTTACTACAAGGACTCCTTTCAATTGAATTGGATACTAAAACGGTTTAAGCAAGGTAGGCAAACAAAAATTCCTTTTTATTTGACATGTCCATTTTTTACATAGAAGCCACACTGTATCTACACATCAACTACATATCCACAACATCTTTTATGGAGGATGAATGCACATGAATAAGTATTGAAATTATCCCAAAATTCGTTGGGAGTTTTTTGAAAAATAGCGACTTCTTTTTCATTTATATGTCTGATTCCAGTTCCGCAAAACGCTCGCAAGCAAGCTTGCTAGATTTGAATTTGAATTGTTTTCTCAAGCTTGAATGCGAGTATTTTGCGACATGTTCAGTTAATTACAAGTTAGCTCCACAAGCGGCCTCTTCTAACTAAACCTTCTCCGCCAGAGGGCGCACATTTCACGAGTGTGAAAAAGAGAGGGAGCATGTGTAAACGCTTTCTTTCTTTTCTGTTCATGCCCATTTATGTAAAACATTTTATTATAATTTCTTATTGGATAAATCTTTACGGGCTAAGTCTTGGGGTTCGCCGTCTCCTCGAAGAACAGCTTCAGCAATCCGCTTTTGAGCAGCTGATCACCCTCCAGCCGCTGTTGCCCCTTCCAAAGCAACACGCTGGGTATGGAGTTGACGGAGAATGGCGGTTTGCGGAATTTATTCGCGTCAGAGCGATCCTTCCACGCATCCCGATTGCCCACATCCACCACTACAACAAGGGCATCCTTTGTGTATTGCCGGAATGCCGTCATAATGCCTTCCTCAGCTTGCAGGTGAAAAAATTATGAAGTATAAGCAACGGAAATGGGGTTTCACATCTGTATTCATACCCTCCACACAGTCCGGACACCAGCTCTTGCCCTTGCTGTCCTTCTCGCCAAAGAAATACAAGTAGATGGGGCTCGTTCTGTTTTTGTGCACATCCAGCATGTTCTGGAGCTCCTGAAATCCACGCACCGGCACAAATTCCGTCATTGTGTTCCTGTGTTCCTTCTGGCGTGTAATTGGAAAAAATGTTGCAATGTGCTTTCGAGGCGGCTCCAACTTATCTAAAAGTGTCGATGCGACAGCGGATAAGTGTAATTGTTTTATGATTATAATGGAGATAAACACAACAATATTGTTAAGTGTGCTGTTAAGCGCGCAAGTCAGCTGGGAGCCTATGACACTTACATATTCGACTTTGAAATAAAAACACATGCTGCATGATTAGTACAATAGAATTGATGTTTTTAGCACCAAAAATACGTTTGTTTCTGCTCCTTAAGAATTTACAAGATTACAAATAAATTCAGCCAGTGGAATAACTTTGGCAAAAGTCATACCGGTTCACTTTTAACAGATTAAAACGCCGGCAAAGCTGTTCAGAGCTATGTTAATCATATTTTAGTATTTTACTTGAAAAGTACGTCGAATGCTCATTTGAAACCAATGTTTTACAATTCTTATTAACAAGCAAGATAATTATGTTATAGAGCTTTTATTTCCTGTCCACAGAACTACACTGCGACTACAAAAATTGCTTACAGCTCGCCATTTACCTTAACAGAGGGCTGCTGTTAAACATTCCAGTGTGCTGTTAAGCGCACGCAGCATAATCTTCAGGATGTTTCATTTAGATTGAATCGTTAAGGTGCTCCCTTCCATATATATAATTTCGAATCAAAGTTATTTCCATTTTTAATAGACTTATAGAAAGGGGAAAAGGGAACTTCTATTTGATTTTTATGATAAATGCCCAGTGTACGAGTGGAGTGGAGTTACTGCCACATCGGCTATCACGCATCCTGCTCATAGTTTTCGGTTTTCATGTCGTTCAGACCCAGCTCCTCGTTGTCGTCGAAGGAGCGATCATATCTCTCCACGATTAGCTTGTCGTCCGCCTCGGTGTCATCGTCGCTCAGCGATTGGACATAGGTGTTGCCAGCGGGATCCTCAAGCACCAGCGTAAGTACCTTTTCCAGCTTCATGACCGCATCGAATGTCTCCAGAAATGTGTCCATTTTCGATTTGGTCTTCTCGTCGGCCGAGTCATGGAAGAAGGTGCCGTCCAACTGGTCCCGCATGGCCACCAGCAGACCCTCAATGGTGGTGAAACGTCCACAAAGGGCATGGGGACCCACCTCCAGATCGAGTTCGGGTATCGAAAGACTGCACGTCTCGGACTTCAGAACATCTCGTGTCAGATCGGCCTTGCTGGCAATGCTAACCTTGAAGCGCACACCCTGCTTCTCGACACCGCCGCCCGACTTCACCTCGTTCGTCTTGTGGCCGCAGCTGCCGCACACTGTGGCCATGATGACCACCTCCTTGAAGTGCGGTATCTCCGTTAGCTTCATGTTCGTCTCGCATGGCGCCTGGCAGTTAGGACAGTTGGTGGCGAACTGCAGCACTTCGCCGTGCAGATTCTCAATGGGCCACTCATCCTCGGCGATGGGCTGAAGCAGATGATCGTCGTGATTTTGCTCGTAAAGACCTGCGGGAGAGAGAGAGTAATGTTATCCCTGACTGCTGACTGACGATCCAATTTCGGACTTACCCAATAGCTCGTTTTGCTGCTTGGAGCGTGTGAAGAACGCTGTCTTTAGCTGTGGATCTGCGGCGGGTGCCACAATGTTCTCAATGAAGCTGTTGCCTGAAATGTCCTCGAGCAGGAGTCGAAAGGGTTTCTGCATTTCCTTGAGCTGCCTCAGGCGCTCAATGTAGCCATCAATGGACGCTGCTTCCTTGGGATGGTCTATGCGTCGCTTCGCCTGGTCCTGCGACAGGCCAGCAATGGTGCGCTCAATGATGCCCTCCACCGTGGTCACCTCGCCCTTCTGCGACTGCACTGGTATCTCCAGCTCTATCTCGGGTATGCTGATGCTGGAGTTATCTGACCGCACCACACGCCGATTAAGGTCCGCTGCCGTCTTTGCCTCCAGCTCGATGCGTATGCCCGACTTTTGGATCTCGGATGCCGACTGCATTTCATTGTTCGAGTGGCCGCAATGTTCGCACTTGAAGGACATGATGACCACCTCGCGAAAGAAGGGAATCTTTGTGGGCAGCACTCGGGTGACGCCATTCTTGAAGCAGCTCATGCAGGCCGACTCAATCTCGACCACTTCATCCGACTGATCGGCATTGATTTCCCGAAAGATTGCCTCCGGACGCGCCTCGGACACGCTGGCGGCATTCTTCGCAGCGCCCACAGTTGACATCTTTGCACAAAATATAAACTCTTACTTCGTTTTTGTTGCTATTGTTGTTTCTTCGTTACGTTTGGACCTTTTGCTAGTCACGTTGTTTTATATTGGTTATTGTTTTATGTTTTATTAAGTTTTCTTTTTTTATCGGTACTATCGATGGTTGGTGGTTGGACACTATCGAACTAACTCACTGTTGATGGTTTAAAGTTGCGGTTTTGACTGCATATGCTTTGCAATAATGACCGCTAGGTTTCACAGCAGATTTTGTGAAGGTGGCGCCATCTATGTATGAAAATTGGATTGCAAGTAATAATTTTCGTACTAACAGAACAGATGACGCTAGCTAACATATCTGTCAAGTACCTGCTAACCTAACAACGGTGCGCTTTGTTTAATTTTGGACTAAATAAAATTGCTGTTACAAATATATAGCATCACAACAACATACTCATTTTTGCGTCCCAATTAGAGGTGGAGAACTATCGATTGCACTATCGGTACCTCCTCATTTTTGCGATTCGATATCGAGCACAGAAATCCCACAGAAATATACAAAAAGTAATATACGTTCACACTTACAAAAAACGTAAATAAAAGCAGATTCCATTATGAATCAGCCGAATCCTATGATTCTCAATAAGGACTGCTTCTGGCAGCTGGTGGGGATCAGCACAGGCCTCAAAATACTACTCATTCCCGCCAAGTAAGTGCCAAAGTCAGAGTCAGTTGCCAGAGCCATCTCCACTCACTCCAGCGACTTGTAACTTTTTCAGCCATTCCACGGATTTTGAGGTGCACCGCAATTGGCTGGCCATCACGCATAATCTACCGCTGAATCGCTGGTACTTCGATGAAACAAGCGAGTGGACACTAGACTATCCGCCATTCTTTGCGTACTTCGAGTGGCTGCTGTCGCAGGTGGCGAAGTACATCGATCCGCGTATGCTGATTGTGGAGAACCTCAACTATGAGTCAAAGGCCACATTGTACTTTCAACGGCTCTCGGTTACGGCCATGGACCTCGTCTATGTCTTGGGCGTGCGCAGCTGCATGAGCGCCTTGGGCGTTGTCAGGGGCAGCCAACAGTTCTTTGCCGGCAATCTGATGCTGCTGCTCAACGTCGGCCTCATCTTCATCGATCACATACACTTCCAGTACAATGGCTTCATGTTCGGCATACTGCTGCTGAGCATTAGTGCCCTGCTGCGACAGCGTTACCTCTGGAGTGCCTTTACCTTTGCGGTTCTGCTCAACTTTAAGCACATTTTCCTGTACTTGGCGCCGCCCTTTGGTGTCTACTTGCTGCGCTTCTACTGCCTGGAGCAGGCCAGCGCGCAGGGTGGCTCCTTTTGGCGTTGTCTCCTCAAGCTGCTGGCCGTCGGACTCTCGCCTTTTGTCGTCTCCTTTGGCCCCTTTTGGCAGCAGTTGCCGCAGCTGATGTCCCGCCTGTTCCCCTTCAAGCGGGGCCTCACCCACGCCTACTGGGCACCCAACATTTGGGCGCTGTACAACACCGCCGACAAGATGGCCGCCAAGCTGCTGCAGACCGGGCCCAGTGCGGGGCCAACGACCACATCGGGCCTCGTGCAGCAAATCGAACACGAAGTGCTGCCCACCATCACACCGTCCATGACCTTTGGCCTGACCATCGCCTTTATGCTGCCCATTCTGCTGAAGCTCTTCAAGAGCTCCAAGAAGTAAGAAGCGCAAGGTTAGCCTTACAATTTTTTGGATGATTTTTATATGAATTTGTGCAGGCAAAGTCCTTTGATGTTTCTGCGTGCTGTGGTGCTGTGTGCCTGCTCCTCGTTCATGTTTGGCTGGCATGTGCACGAGAAGGCCATACTGATGGTGCTCATACCACTATGGTGAGTGCCTGAAAAATCTTGGAAAAGCCTTGGAAAATCTTTACTAAATTATATCCCTGTCCTGCTTCCAGCCTGCTGACCTTGGTGAATCGTGAGGATGCCAGGCATGCCTATGTACTGAGCATTGCTGCTTACTTTTCGCTCTTTCCGCTGCTCTACGACGTGGACTTGTATGTGCCGCGCTACTCGCTCTACTTGTCCTACATGGCCATGCTCTATGGGCAGCTTTATCGCATGTTTGCGGGCTTCAAAGGCTTCCACTGGCTGGAGTGGACATATATGCTGGGCTTCATGGCCATACCGCTGTACGAGCACGTGCTCAGTCACCTGTTGGGCCTGGACAAGCGACTGCCCTTCATGCCGCTGCTGCTGACATCCACCTACGCGTCCCTCGGCGTCGTTTACTTCTTTGGGCGCTACTACATGTATGCCATGGGCCTCAACTGGTGGCCCCAGGGGGCTGCCAGCAAGGCCACTGCCACCTACTCCTCGTCTGCCAAGCGAAAGCGTAAAACCAAATAAACGAAAAGACTAGAAATTCAATAGAAAAATGTGCATGGCGAATGGAAGGTGGGAAGATGCGAAGGTGCGAAGGCGCCTGGCGCAACAGCCAACACGGCGCCGCAGCTACGTGCCAAACAAAAACTATTAAGCGGAAAACGATGCCCGATCCCCGATGCTAGGTACAATCCGCTGGCCATTGTCTGCCGCGTACCTGTCGCCCTGTGCAGCTTATGGGCAGGTACGACAAGGGCCAGGGAATTTCCATGGAAACTCCAGACTGAATGAATATCAAAACCGAACGGGCCCTGCATCCAGGCTAGTGCCATCAGTTGTTAGCTTCACCCACAGCGCAGAGGTTGTCATTCAAATGGAATTCGTGCCCAATCACAGCTACAAGCCATACAAGCAGCAGCAGCAGCAGCAGCAGCCACAGTAAGTAACTCGATTTGTGTCTTTTATGAATTAATTAATTGTTACGCTTGCAGTCATCAGCCTGACTCCAGTGAGTGCTTCAGAAAGGGCGCCTACATTGAGCTATCAAATGGTGCGTTGCGTCGCGTGGAGGACATACGCACCGAGGACTTTATTCAGTCGGCGCTGCGCAGTCAGCTCTTTGATCTGCGCGAGGCCACAGTTGTGAGGATCGACCGTGGACATCTGTCGCATGTAACCATCACCTTTAGCTACGACACGCGTTACGCCAAGGTAAGAGCAATGCTTCACTCTCCCCCACTCCCGCCTTAACTGAAACTTTTCTGCGCTTTTGCAGGTCAATATGGATGTGCTGCCGGGTCATCCGTTGTTCGTCTATGGCCAGGGCTGGGCCTCCTGCAATCCTCAGCTGTCGTTTCAGCTGTACGAGCTCAAGTGTCAGCAGCTGCAGGTCGGCGACATTTGCCTCTCGCTGGTGCCCCGCGAGCAGATTGCTCCTCCACCTCCACCTCCACCTCCACCTGCACCTATACCTGCACCCCCTGCTGCTGCTGCACCGCCACAAGTGCCACACAGAGGCTATCATTCCTATCAAATGTATGCAGAGATGGCCAATTTTGTGGCTGCCTACACCCAGCATGTCATTGACAAATTGAGAAATTAATCTTGCACTTAGAAGAACCCTCCCATGGGCACATTTGGGTCATGCTCCAATAGATTTGAGCGCTATTGCTGCTATGACCTGAATTACTCATTTATATATAATGTAAAATGCATATTTTTTTGAAATAAATTAAAAATCAATAAGCGCAGCATTAATTTGAAAACTTCAAAATCAAATCTCGATGAAAATCATCGATAAGTTTCGATTGAAATGCAATTATTGCAAGTGCGATTTTAAGTTATACATTTTCCACATAAATATATGCAGATATTCTATTAACAATTATTAAATTCATATTTTAATTTTGAACTATTGTTGTTTTAACTTAAGAGTCACTTTCCAGTTTGGCGGCAATATCTTTTGCCAGTTACGATATAGCTATCGAAAGAGTCATGCCCGCCAGCCTGTGTCAGCTGTCACAGCTTTTCATCCTGTTGAACACTGGTGAAATTTCTTGGCGGCCATTCAAAAACACTTGCATTGTTTCTAAATATATATCTATTAGTCTGTTGTTTATGCAAATAAACGTTTTATTTTGTATTTAGTCATTTATTATTTGATCATAGAAGTGTGTAGAATATTAATTTAACCATAACTACAATTTAGAACAGTTTTTATTATGTTTGAGCATTCATTAAATTGTTTTTGCCATTCTCTTCCGCTCAGCTGCTGAGTGCATTCGATTCAATTGAGGCATTCCCTCCTCCCACAGCTTTCGATTTGTGTCCCGCATTTAGATTTCGGTTTCTGCTTTACCCTTCAGGTTACTGGCGTGGGCGGGCCGAGGCGGGGCGTGTCGTCTCTCCAAGACGCTACAAAAAAAACCACAATTCCATCGAGCGACCAACTTAATTCAGCAATCAAAAGCAATACAAAAACAACAACAAAAGGAACGACAGAATACAGATCATAAAGGAAACTTTCAGACATAAAGTCCCTATAATTACCAACACCCTGAACGTTGTAAATGCATCAAAATTGAACCGCCCCTCGGGGCAATATTTCATGGGCAGCAACAAAAACAAGAAGCAACCAAAAGCCGACGGCAGCGAAGAGCAGAAGCAGACGCGCTCGATGCCGATGGTGGGAGCGGGATGGCGAACAACAACAACAACAACAACAAAACGTGCATTCAATTTTGTAGCGGCCTGAATCTTGATCCTAACCCTCGCTCGCTACACAGTGAGAAAATTATTGCAAGTAAAGCACAAAATTCCGGAATATGAAAATATTTTGCACATTTTTGGCTGCATAAAGCAATAGACAGCAATTTTCATTAATAAAATAACGAATAAATAATTGCTGTTCATTTTTTCATGTCTGTTGTTTTTGTGAGTGTATTTCAGTTCTTCCGGCCATTTTTTTGAGCAATTTTCTGCAATTGAGTTGTTGTCGTTGTCATAGTTTTTCCCTCTCATTCTTCTTCCCATGCTGGGGGGGGGGGATTCTTGAATGACTTTCCACTGCCACTGGAGCTCTCCCTTTTGCAGCCCCATCAAAGATCATATATCATCGCATCCCTGGAAGACACAGGAACTGTGCGCATTAGGCCTCATAATGGATAATAATACCAATGATAATTTCGCACAAAAACGCAACGCAAGAAAACGAAGCGAGAGCAGCATGCAGCATGCAGAATGCACCGTGGCTTGCCGCATTGGACACGGCCAGCATGATGACAACGTAGCGGCGGAGAGCGGCAAAGGCATAAGGCAAAGGCTAAGGCAAAGTCATGCTCCTCCAGCTACAGACTTCGGCTTGTGCATGCCCTTGGAGTGGGTATTTCGACTTGTACAGGAGCTTGGCTTGGGTTGCCATAGAAACAAGCGCCCTGCAAAGGGTATTTAGTATTTCGGGTTTTGTTTCGCTTTCCCTATGGATTAAATTCGCAGCAGAATCAACTGAAATCTGAATGAAATGTTCACAGCAAGTTTTATATTTAGATATAGACTTTTTTCCTTCTTTACCTTTACCTGCTCGAAAGTCGTAAAAGTTTTTTGTGATCTTTGAACCTGAGTCATCGAAGCGCTTCCTCGATCGACAGATTATGAGTCATGTGGTCCAGGCATCTGCCTTTTCTCGTGTCGAAAAAAAAAACAGAGGGAAACTGTGGGCAGAGGAAGGAACAAGGAACAGCAGCAGGAAGACATGAATACATAAATGCATGCTGCTGTGCCCTGCTGCTGTGCATTTTAATTGTTTCCTAATTGACTCAGCTCTGTTGTAATTTGATAGAAGCTTTTCCACTGTAACTGGCATAATTATTTAGTAATTTCCTGTGCCCTTATTCTCCCCCCTTGTTCATGTCTATAGGACTGGTAATTGGATTCGATTTGATCGATGGCAATAATTTGCATTGCCAAAACAGCATGCGAACCCAGCGAGAGAGTGAGATATAGAGGGAGGAAGAAGCAAAAATACTCATTCCATGAGTAGTAGATTCCAGTTCCAGCTGCAGTTCCATTCCAGTGCGTGTGTCTCTGTTTTTGCAAGTAAATTGCATCATCAATTTCATGACTCCCAGGACGGGAGACTGCGGAGAATCCAGAGACTGGGACTGCCGAGCGCTGCCCGCTGTGGCGCCTCGAGGATTGCGTGTATTTAAATCATATTTCTCTTTACAGCTTCTGTTTCTGTTTCTGTTTCTGTTTCTGTTTCCCTTGGTTTGACTTCACTTCTCTTTGGCCTAATCGTTGGCCAACATTTTTTTGTTCAAACCAAAGATATGCGTTTATTATGTCTGTGTATTTTGGCATTTGCGGAATAATGAAATCGCCAGTCAAATGTGGGAAACGCTCCATGTTTTTATACCCGGTACTCGAAGAGTAAATAGGGTATATTGTATCTGTGTATATTGTATCTCCATAGCCGAGTCGATTGAGCCATGTTTGTCTGTCCGTCCGTCTGTCCGTCCGTCTTGTTGAGCGCCTGGATCTCAGAGACCATCAAAGCTAGAGGCACCAAATTTTGCAGCGAGACTTCTGTATGCTCACACTGTCACAAGTCTATTTCAAAAATGAGCCCCGAACAAGGTGACGTATTCACCACGCTTAGACAGACAAGCGCTAGAGAGGGATAGAGAAAGCGACTCAGCCATTGTGAAGACGTCTCCTGTAAATAAATACACCTTGTGCCTGCCTGCCCGCTGCCGTCTGTCTGCCGCTGTTGCTCTCTTACCTGTCCAGCGGGCTAGTTCAAATGCTCTCTTATCACATGGCCCCGCTGGCCGTCGCACTCTTATCATTTAATGAACGCCCCAGCTTCCAGTGTGCCTGCCTGCCAGTCGCCCCACACCCATGGAGTCCCACAACGGGCTCTGCCGGGCGTTATCTTAAGTAAAAGGAAGACCACTCTCCACGTCTCCCAGCACCGACCACCACAACTATTACAATTCCGACTGTAACTGCAGTGCAATGTTAATATAGCGATAATCGTGGATCCATCTACTAATTAATTGACTCTTTGTGTTCTTTATTTTTTGCTGTCGTTTTTCCTTCTCATTCGTTGATGGAGAAGAGGTACGAATGGATTGTATGGAACGTGCAGATGCCGCTCGTGTGAGTGAAAGAAATGTTTCAATGGCAGATAATATTTTGTATACTTATGCCATTAATTATTCGAAATTAATAATAATTACAGTCTGTGCGAGTATGGGTAACGTTTGACGGTAGGAAATACCTACAATAAATCGAATTAGTGGTCTAAAGGGTACACTCTAGTCGCAATCCAGAAGATTGTGGGGGGGCTCCTACCTGTTTTTGTTTTGTTGTTCGCTCTGGTTTGCCACCATCTTCGCGCTTCCCCATATCCTCATCTCCATTTGGCGGGACGCCAGTCAGCCAGAGATAGCGATAGCCCAGAGACCCATACCCATACCCATAGCCCTGCCCCGACCGACACTGAGACCCAGACTGCCGCGGCATCCATCCAATTCCAATCCAAGCCATCCA